ACCACCTGTATTGTTTGGTGTTGCACCAAATTAAAAGGGCCCATCTAATGTGGCAGGTCAGATTTTGGTGTTCTGTAGATCAGTTGTAAGTTTGATAATTTTCTTAATGGTGACAATTTGTTGCTCCCTTTAATGGTGAATTGTGATACTGATATTCGTGCTGATATCTCTCTTATAGACAAATACAGCAGAGGCTACTGAGGGTACAGCCATGGGAATCTCTTCAATTCCAGGAAATGCTGGTTTACTTGGGTAAGTCAGTCCAAACTTCGTGGCTAGGCTGTTCACTTGTTAAGCAAAAAAGAGAGAATAGTAGTGTCAGCATGAGTTTTCAGATATGAAGTAATTTAGATTACATTATTTAAGATGAAGTTCCCTTTCTTTCTTTTCTAAATTAGCGTCAAATAAGAATACACTGAATTTAGTAACAAACAATAATAGGTGAAATCTTGAATTAGGTGCCACATATAAATGGAGGGCAGGCATTGCTGAGGATTACAGTGAGAGTTGATAGTAATACTCAGAAGCTATCAGTTATGATTACTTATTGATACATACATATTCTGTGTCTTTGATATGAGAGAAACGCTAGCAATAAACTTTCTAACATTCTTTCAGGCACACTCTCATTGGGTTAAATTCATGTGAGTCTTGCTAATTATGTAGGTCCCCTTCCATATTTGGTGAGTCCCATTCCCAAATTAGTAAGATCCACATGAATTTCAACTAATAGGAGAGAGTGTTTTGGAAAGATGGTGTATTGCTAACACTCCTCTTGATATGATGGTATAGTACAGCATCAAAAGTTGTCTTTAGTTTGGGACTTGCAGAGAATTGTGTATTGATTGCAACTTTAAAATATATAAACTAGTTAAAATGATGCTATCTTTTGTTATGCCACTATAGGAAAGGTACTTAATCAGTTGCAAAAAATAAGAACCTGGCTGTAGTTGTCTCGTCTAAACAGTCTAAGGAGCACTGCATCACATTTGGGTGCCTCTGATTTTCTAGTTGAGCTTCAATCTTCTTTCATTGCACCTTGCTGCTGAGCTGTTTCTTCACATTTAAATATAACTCATGGGTTCTGACTTAACTCATCAATTTGTAGATGGGCTATGAGCTCCTTGACTCTGAAGAGTAAACCTTCGGATCATGCTCCAGTTGCTTCTGTGAGTTCTAGTGCACTTACTCCAACATCTTCTAATCCCAGCTCAGGTATGCTAAATATCAGTCTTGTCTATTTTAAATATGATTAGATTATTGCTTTTTCCACTGAATGCGTGATTAAATCTTCTCCTCCCCATTTAGGCCTCCTAAGCTTTAAGCCCTTGTTTAATTTCTGTTTTTGTATCTCATGCCTAAATAGTCTAATAAGAGTTCAACTACATGATCTTCGATGTAACATTAAATCCTACTAATGCTTTTGTAAACAACTTCAGTCACTCATGCTTCACTGTCACAATGTCGTCAACTTTGATGTGCATTTGACTTTTGAGTTGCAAATATGAAAGCAATTTAGGAATAACGTGTATATATTAGTGTTGAGAGGATGATATCCTGCTCTTGAATAACTAAATTGCAAGAGGCTAAAATATGCTTAATGAACTTGCTCTCATGTTTCTGAAAATTTATCTGAAATTTGAGCACCAGTTCCCATTATGAGAGGAGGTCAGCAAAGACTGTGGTGCATCAGCCTTAGGCCCTTGTTCCTTTCTTGTCCATTTTTTACCTCCAGGTCTAGTAAATCACTACATTTAAAGACGCTTTTTCTTGTGGATGAAGGGGTTTAAGGTCATAAAAAACCTTTACCTGGCACATTCTTTTGAAATGACTTCTCTTACTTATTGGGGCCCCAAAAAATCAAACTCGTTATGCCTACGTGTAATTTTGTGCTATTAGTAAATGAAGAAAATAAATAGAAGAAAACTGAGAAACACTGAGGGGAAGGCACAACTGGAGATTTCATGCATTATATTCCTATCCAGTATTCACTTTTGAGGCAAAGTTATTCAATCTGCTCCCTTATCTGATCTTTGGTTGCTGCATTAATTTGTTCTGCTCCATTCAGAGGGCTTCCTTCGGAGTAAATCTTTACAACTTAACTCATTTATTTCACTTCTTTTTTGTGTATTCTAGTTGTAGATATTCCTTCAACAGTGCCTGTTCGCGTAAGCTCCACAACAGATTTTGCTGAACCCCCTGCCCCCACATCCCCAACATCAACAGATGGCTGGGGTGAACTTGAGAATGGGCTTGACGAGGAGCGTGAAAATGACAAGGATGGGTGGGATGATCTGGAACCACTTGAAGAAATAAAACCAACTCCAGCTCTTGCAAACATTCAAGCAGCTCAAAGGCAGCCAATTTCTCAACCTGTTTCGCAGAAGAAACAAGGTATTACTTATTCAACTGTTATTATTTTGGTGCGAATTTCCTGATTTCGCTGTCTGCTAGTTGCTAATTATAATTTTTGGATGTCAGATTGTAAGTTATTAATCCATGTACTAGCATTAAAAAATACCTATATGTCCAAGACTGTGATTAATGACATAATGCTCACCAAGTGATTGACGCGAGTGTATGATTACTAGTTCAGGTTTACATCGAATGCTTGAATTTGGTGTTTGGTGAATTAGGTTAGCCACCTTTCACTAAGGCATGAACTTTGATCCTTTGTTCATTTGTTGTATGGTAGGATTTTGATCCTTTATTCATTTGGTGTATTGCTAGGACGGTATTCCTTTGTTTTGGATATACTGCTGCCATCTTATTCAGCTTTCGATCTGTGCTTAAAACTTAAAGAGTTTGACAATGTCCGTAGATGTAAAAGCAATATTCCCAACCCAATCCCTCAAACTCATATACTTATTTGGTGGATTTTATGTTGCCGTGTACTAACTGGAAGGGTTTTCTTTATTTTTTAAATTTAGTCTCAAATTTGCGATCCAAAAGTACACCAAAGTTGAGCAAGGATGAAGATGATGATTTGTGGGGTTCCATAGCAGCTGCTGCTCCAAAAACATCAAAAGCTTTAAACATGAAGTCAAATGTGACTGATGAAGATGATCCTTGGGCTGCCATTGCTGCTCCTGCACCCACTACTAAGGTCAGGCCCTTAGCTGGCAGAGGGCGGGGTGCTAAACCTGCTGCTCCAAAGCTAGGTGCTCAGCGGATAAACCGGACATCATCGTCCGGGCTGTAAATGGAATTGTCACTTGCCGGAGAACGAAAGGAACAAGGAAATATTGAATCTGTACTGCTGGCTGTGACCACGTTAAAGTTCAGGAACCCATAGATTTCTGCTTTCTATTAGCATGGTTGGGTTTGTAAATTCTTTTTAAGTGTCATGCTTATTTTAAGAGAAATCTTAAGAGCAGCAATAGTTGAATTATTCCAAGGCAACAAGGCTTTGGTATTTACTATTTCCTTTTTTTTTTTGGTGGGTGGGGGGTTGATCAATTGACATTTTACATGCAATGTAATTAGTATCATATTGTATAGGAAAGTTTTTGGTCGAGATATTATTTACTTGAACCTGTTCTATCTGATTGGTTCTAAATTTCTAATACTATGCACTTACACGTGTATTTAGTAGTGCTGTAATTAAGCTTATCCACGTCAACTGAAACCGTTGTGTGTATCAGGATTATCTTTAAATTCTACCAAAACCAATTACTTCTCAAAAAGAAAAAAAAAACAGTTACTTCAATTTTACACTTATTTATTATGATTTTGGGAGTCATAATTAATTCTAGGAGCTATTCAAACATACTATGAAAGAACATTTTATATAAGAATTTGCACCCATCCTAAAAGGCATATTGTACATATTTATTATTGATTAAGATTTATAAAAAAATTATTAGTGAGGTTCATTGAATTTTGTAATTTTTTTTTTTTGTAAATTTCAATTAATAATAAAATTTTTGGCGGTGAATGTGATACTGACAACATATTTTTATAATTTTTGCAACCAAGAATTGCAATTGCAAGATCACAAAAAATAAAGACGGGGATGGAAAAGTTTTGCATTATTTGTGTGTTCTCATTTTTCAGGTTTTGGAAGTGATTAAGCATAAACGAACAAAGCAACATATCCACTAGATTTTTGTAGTCTTTGCAAGCAACATTGACTAACAAGAAGACCACAAAAGCAGCATTAGCGTAGCGTAGTTCAGTGAGATGAATTTTACATGATAGCTTTTTATTTAAATATTTAATTAAAAAAAATGATAGCCTTAAAAACCGTGGTATAATTCATTTTAAAGATAAAGTAACTCATTTTTTTTTTGTTTTAAGCTACATAGGAAAGAAATGGAATGAAGAGAAAATATAGAAATAGTTTACATTAGTTTTTTGAAAGGAAAAATGTAGAGCTCACTCTAGAAAAAAACACCATATCTCTCTCTATTTTTTTTTTTAGTTTCTTAAAAAAGGGTTTTTTTATAACCAAAAAATTTCTCTTTACCATATTTCAATTTCAAATTTAATTTAATTTAATAACTAGTTAAAAAAATTATTTTCAACTATTTAAAATTACTCCCCTTTTATCTTTGTTTATATACGTGATTCTATTAATTATTTATCTTTTTAATTTATTATTTTATATTTATTTTAAATAAAATTTTAATAATATTAAAAGAAATAATCGACAGTGAAAAGTAATTTTATGATTTATCATAAATTTAAAATATAATTTATATATTTATATATAAAAAATTATTATAAATTTTAATTATATAAAAATAAATATTTTTGTGTACATTCCAAAAACTAAAATACTAATTAAAAATAAATTTACTTTGTTAAATCATTTATCACGAAAAAAATATAGCTAAAAAGATATTATAAAATCAAAAGATAGTAAGATATTTATTTAAAATTTAATTATAGTATAATTAGTAAATATCTATTTATTATAAATTTAATTATTAAAATAAATATTTATATATATATATATATATATATATATATATATATCCTCGTAAAAGAAAATAAAAAGGAGGGGGAACTCCCATCGATTGTACAAATCTGAAGCTGAAGTGCAGACTCCGGAGTAGGATATTTCAATTTTTTGTAATTGGGAACCCTAAACCCCCAAAGTCTTTGACTTGGCTCAATCCTTCGATATGAGTATGACTCAATTCGCCATGGTATGCTTCTTCGATTCTCTTTCTTTCTCTCAATATAGTCATATACATGGGTTATGCATTCATGAATTCCAATTTTGTGCTGCTATGCTCCCTCTTTCCGGGTATTATGTTTTTAGGTGGTAGCGAATTGCATTAGTAAATATCAAAGTTACAAATTTCAGAACCATAGGTTATGTTTTAGCACCAAGCTTGTTCCTTTATCTTTTCCCATATTAGTTGGATATTTTTTTTTTTAAGTACAACGGCTTCTATGTTTGCCTTTATGTTAATTGAACTTGCATGGCACTATGGAGCATCTCTTTAGAAAGACTTATCTTGCTGTGTTTAAATATTTAACTGAGTCTCAGTACTGATGTTTTTTTGTATTTCAGGTTGAGGAGTTGGCTTTTCTTGTCAAGGACAATCTTCCTTGCAAGCATCTAGTTCTCACAATGGAAGAAGCGCTGGTTAACTTTCTCCAAGATGATGACACTAGGTAACATTTATGAGAGAGTCTGAGTGGTGTTTGACGTTAGTATTAGTCCAAGTTTTAGTTAGTAGAACTACTGATGTTGTACTTGTACTTGTCCTGAACATGGTCAAAGAAAAATATGAACATTTAATGGATCGTTGTACTTTTTTTCTAAGGACATGGGAGGGCCGACTTAAAACAATTTATGTTTTTCTCTAGATTTCTCTACAAAACTAGCTGAAGTTGGAAATTCTTGTTTACTTCCCATGTACTTGTGGCTCCTAAAAGAAAAGAAAGCAGTTTAGTAATATAAATTAGAAAATGCATTGTTGCATTCTATTTCTAAAATGGTTTCAAATTCAATGTAATGATGTTTAAATTAGTTGTATAATCCTTGTAAGCAAAATAAAAGGGTTTATTTATTATTTGCTACAAAAATTACGACAAATTTTTTAGCATCACAGTTCACTTATGTTGGAAAGCTGCCTTAATTGCCATCACCCCTAGCTCCGAAAAGGGCTTCCTACAAAGGGGCTGACCAGAAAAGCTTCATGAAGTGTTGTAGCGTAGTGTGTAGCCGTCAAGACATTGAGGGTTGAAATACTACATCAACTAGAAATAAGGCCTAAGTAGTGCTTATAAGGCTTGGTCAATCCTTACTGTAGAAACAGATTTTGTAGGGTTGAGTTAAGTCTTAAGCCTAAATTTTAAGTGCTTATTAATTCAATATTGTATAATACATCTTGCACATTCTTGGAATGTAAACTATTTAAGGAATTAATGTATATTGGCTAATGTGTAAGGGGCTTTTGGAGAATGGCTCTATGTTTTTTTGGTCATTTATGGCATCTGATTGTAGCTGGTTTTTGTGGCAGTTGAGCATATGCATGTTGTGTTAAATAGTTGTTTTACTTCGGTTGGAAGTTTTCTTTCCCCTGGTTGTCTGGTCACTGGTGCCATATAATATGCTCACTTAATATCTGTTTTTATTGACTATAGTTCAGATGGGATCTTGGAATTGGAGCCAATGAACTCTTACAACCGTCTTCTCTTGCATCGCCTGGCTGAGATATTTGGGTATTTTTCCCACAACTGTTATTTTAGTCAATTTCAAAGTTCCTCTCTGGTTTCATTTTGAATCTATCTACTTTCCTTTGATTTGATAGTTTTATAATTGGTGCCAGGTTTGCACATGAATCTGTTGGTGAAGGAGATGACCGCCATTTGATTCTGGAGAGATGTCCAGATACGTCCATGTAAATGAAATTCCCTCTTTTATCTCTCCTGGATCTTTATATGTTAAGCATAATTTGGATTACTTTATTTTGTTAGTGTTTCAGTAATTATTTCAAGGTTTCTTTAGCAAAATAACCTTTGTGTTGGATGGATTGCAGACCTCCAGTCCTTGTTAGTGATATCCTATGGGAGTACGATGAACCTCAGTCTTTGTTTACATCCCATCAAATATTAAGGAGAAGTGAAGCCTCTCCAGGTAATGCATGCTACTGATTCTTCTCTCAGTTACCATAGCACATCATGTACAATATTGATCATACCTGTAGAATCTACCATTATAAAAGACAACATTTGACCTATGATGCACCGATACGATATGCGTATCGGATACGACACGTATCCGATACGGCGATACGATTATTTTAAAATATATAAGATACGATACTTGTAAGATATGTGTCATCATATATATCAATGTTCATACAATATAATAATTGTGTACTTGTAATTTTGATCAAAATTCATAAACATTAAATATATAATTGCTATTTTGCAAATCCAAATTAAAAACATACTTATTGTACATTACTAAAAATAAATAAATTATAAATCATTTCATCATAAATTACTTTTTATTATTTACAAATAAAAATAATATTACTTATTTCATTCCTTTCTTAAGATTATCTATATAGAAGACAATATTCATTTACAGTTCATCAAGGACCAATATTTCTATGTTTCTATATTAAATATGTTTATATATTTTATTTAACTGTAATGGATATTTCATAATTTTTCAAAAATTTAAATACTTTATCGATACGTATCACCAATAAGTATCGGTGAAGTATCTGAGAGTATCGGAATTGAATAAAATTTTTATAATATTTTCAAAGGTTAGGATACTTCATTGACACGTATCGGTGAAATATCTAAGAGTATCATGTCGGATACGTATTGGATACGGATACGTGAAGTAAATTGAAGTATCAGTGCTTTATAGCATTTGACACATGGAATGAGATTTATTGTTTACTATTTATTTAAAACTTGGGAATACTGTGGGAAAAATTTTCTATGCTAAAATTAGTTTATTTTTATTTAATTTATTATTATAATTTTTATATCTGAAAATTATTAATTTGTTATTGCATAAATAGAAGCTTATGTTTCTGTTATTTTATTTATCACCATCATTATTGCTAATTGCAGTATAACATGCATATTTATATAGATGGCTGAAAATTATTTCCTATAATGACTAGAAACATAAATATGATATAGAAAGTCGGTTCGGTGTAGATATTAGAACAAGCTGATGCTTAAAAAAGTATGATACACTATTGGGTGGTATGCAGGTTACACAAATTCATAATATTTTCTTGTTGCAAAGATAACTTAAAAATACTTGTGCTTAAATAGTAGGCATCACTGCTTTAGTGTAGAAGCAGTCTGGTGTGTAGTGGCCGTCCCCAGAATTGCTACAGTGAGATAGCTGCTGTTTTGAAATTTTTTATAGTCTATATAATGTAGTATGCATATAAATTCTCTAAAATGTAAAAAAAAAAAAAATTAATAAAATTTACAATTAATAACAAAAGGTCATAGGTGTCTTGAACAAACCCTATAAGGAAATACCAACAAAAGTCAAATACAAGTCTTCTAGATAGGAATTATCATCTAAATCCAAGTATTTATCAATTTACTACTATCTTGCAGTTGTAGATATCATATTTGGATTTTTAAATCCCAAAAATAGCCTCTGCGAAAGGCCCTAATGTGTTAGTTCAGTGGGCTTTTCTGAAATCAATTCATAGCATGCTATTTGGTATGCTACAGCCGCTACACTAATGACTAAACCACTCCACTACCCTGCCCTTGTAGCATGCAGGGGCTGCTCCACACCACTACGGCGCTACAGCATGCTATTTAAAGCACTGTCTAGAAGTAAATATGAACTGACTATGTGAACACCCAGCAATTATCTGGTAACCTGATGTATTCATGAGTAAATTGCATACCTGTAAATGAGTGTTCTGTTTGCAGGTATGTATAGGAATAACAACTTAAGTATAAGATGCTTAATAAGTTCATATGGAAAACATTAATTTTCTTAATGACTCTCAGTTCGTACCATTTCATAGACTGACTGTCTTTTTCCATGATGAAGATTATTTTTCTGTTTTGCGGGCTTTAATTTGTGTGCTGCTTCTTTTAGTCTTGCAGAAAAACACACCATCCTTTTCTCAGTCACTGGAGGAGAGAAAAGCAGCTTATTTAATTGCTCGTGAGCGAATTTTCTCTAAGAATTTGGAAGAGGTAAAAGAGCCTGGTGAACAAAAGCCACGGAGTGTACCCGTGGTTGCCCGCAGAATGATTGCTCATGCACTAGGTCAAAGAATCCATACAAAGAATCAGAATGGCTTGGATAGTGACAGTGTGAAGGATAGAGTCCTCACAGATGAATTGAATGCTCAAGATAAGAATAGTGAAGAGTCCAATCTCAAGAAAGATTCCGAAGAGTCTTTACGTCTAAGAGGGAATTCAAATAACAGAATAACAAGCACTAGCAGTTCTAATGCATCCACACTTAATAAAAGAAATGATCAAACACCAGTTGACAAAGGTTCGCCACAGTTCTCTCAAGACAGAAAACAAGCGCAAAGTGTAAGTAAAGACTACATGAAAAAGGAGCACTTGGGAGCTGCAAAGAGAATGTTTGCTCATGCTTTAGGAGTGCATTCTGGGAAGGATGGTTCTGTTCCTAGAAGCAGAAGTGGAGAAATAAAGAAGAATTAGCGGAGAAGTTCGTGAAATATTTAAAGCAAAATGGTTTTCTGTTGCTCCAAATGGACCTTGATAGTTGCTCCCCAGGTTTCAATCACAATCCCGAAGATGAGTACTGAGCATGCTTTACTCAGGAGATTCATGCAAAAGACTATTGTAGTATAATGTTGGTTGCTTAGTTCTTCTCTGATTGATCTGGAGTAACTTTTCTAGCAGCCAATTCAAGAGCATCTTGAAACAACTATCCAGAATCAAGTTTGACCTGTTTTGACTATGTTCAAAGATGGTTGAACAGGTATGGTGTTTTGGCCCGTCATCTATGTTGTTGTAAGATAGTTCAGTTTCATTCTACTGTTTAGCTTAATCTCAACGTGATAGTTTTCGTTATGGATGCTCCCAGGGACAGGGGCAAGTGCATGATTTCCCCTATCATGGAGGGTGTTATCTGTTATGTATATATAATATATAGAATCACATATTTATTGTGTCGTGTTTAGCAATTCGGAATTTCTTCATCATTATCCTTGTATGCCACTGACCTCGTTTAATGGAGAAGAAAACTACCTCCGAGAGATTGATTCACAAGTGTTCACCATCCTTCTCATAAAAAGCCGATCAAAGTGTAACTAATTTTTGATAAAAAAGCTTAATTTCTAAAATGAAAAGACATATTTTACTCCCTTTAAAACTATCATATTTTTAAATTGAATATATATATATATAATTATGCTATTAGTGTAAAACATTGTGAATAATCTCCACCTTATATTATGGGTATATAACAGTTTATAGGTCTAAAAATTTATGGTTGATTCCTTTATTTCATTATTCATAATATGATTGTCAGTGAATCAATTATTTGACGGTTGTAAGTGTATTTAATATGAACGACACTATAATAACGAGCAAAACCTTATTCTACCACGTGATGAGTGATCCAACCTTTCTCTACTAAGCGATGAGTGATCCATGTTTCAATAGCAACGAGTTTTACGCAAATTTTCAAAAGCCTCACAAAGGTTGGGTTGAACGAGTTTAATTTTAAATATTAATTTTAAAAAACTCGCATACAAATGCTTTATAAAATTGTTATATTTAAAACAATATATATTCAAGGCAACTATTATTTTAGACCATGTTGCATGGTCGCCGCAGTCTACAGCTCCACCCACGGCTTTTAGCATTTGAATGTCAACAATTATCCCCTTCAGCAATATCAAGAAAAACGAGACAACTCCCCCAAATCGTGGCAGAGGACTGTTTCTAACATAATTACTCAACAGAATCATATACATAAATATCAAGCAGCACAGGAATTCACCCCAAAAATATATAGAACAGCGGGTGGTAAATGACTTGCAACTATTAATTAGCATTTTGTGGTTTGTAATACAAGTCCCTCGTTCAACGTATTTTGCAACCCACCGCTAGGAGTGCCGAGGGACTGTTGCAATTGCAACATGAGCCAAGTATTTAAGAATAGTATAAAACACATGGCAAACGATAACATGCTTGACCAACATTATCCATCACATCTCAATGTCTTCAAGATCAGGGAGAGGAAACCGAAGAATTGCAGCAACGCCACTTATCTGGGCTAGTTCTGTTCATCAATATAAAATTGAAAAATTAAATTTAAAACAAACATAAAACTAGAACATAAATTTTCACGCAGAAATTTCATTTACTTCCGTAGAGCTGTTCTAACAAGAAAAGGGGGAAGAAAAACAAATAAAATCTTTAGTTTATACATTGCCATCTTATGACTTCTACAGTGCTACATTCTTTTCACTAATCACCATTCGCAGTTCATGGATTTCTAGGATAAATAAATATCCCACACACACCACCCACCCCAAAAAATAAAAAAAATAAATAATGAAAGTGATAGACTTACGTTCGCCAGAGACATGCAAGGACGAAAATACATGAACAGAGCCTCCTGAATCCTTAACAGAGTTGACCAAATTAACAAACTTTTTTCTTGCTGCTATGTCTGTATTCCTGTAACCACAAACAAGTAATGTTACAATTTTATCAAAAGGAGCATTTTCAGGATTACATTCCAAATCCCAAGCTAACGATTAAGATAGTAAAGAAAATGCAAAGACAAAGTTCAGTTATCATAATGCTATACTGGCTCAAAAATTTAGTCGACAAAAATATATTTCTAAAAAACAAATTGTGAAGTAAACAGTGGTTTGCAAAGAAGTTTGATCTATAACCTTACCAAGGAATAGGATGGATAAGATATATGGATGAATTGAACAAAAAGGCAGGATACATGAATTTCAAAGCGAGTGTGAATCAGATAGAACAACCCAGCATGCTATCTTTAATTCAGAATATTTCTGGACTATATCATGCAAACCTGAAAAGATCATCCGTAATGAGAAGCGTTTGTACAGCTAGCCGTTCATTGGCAACCTCAACATGCTTCATTCCATAACAAGCACGTGACGGATCCTGTTCCACACCAAAGATATTCAATCAGGATTTTCTAGATTTTTTAAAATGCAAAATTTAGGTTAAGCAATTTTCACAGCTTTGACGTGACAATAATTTAAGGGAGAAACTTGATTACTTCTATTATGCTAAGGTGATACTTCCTTTGGATTTTGACTGACTCCAAATTACATTTTAAATACTTGATTGATTGTGCACAAGAAAAAAACACTTTTATAGTACAGACAGGACAATGAGTTTCACATGATAAATCTTCCGGAAGATCATTTTTTAGCTTATCGCTCCACTCAGTTTACATTCATAACTCTTGATATTAGTCAACAATGATCGATCATTATGTAATAAGCATATCTGCATATGGGGTTTCTCCTATAATGAGCTGCACAACTCTTAACATAGACATAATGAAATTAAACAATTTAGGGCAAGGAGTAAAAACATCTAATATCATGTTTTCATGCATATGACAAAGCCAAACCTAGGACACATGGATACTTTAAAATGTTCAATCAATGTACTGGGTTTAAATATATATCGGATACTGATACTCATACTGTACGTGATACTTCAATATCAATAGTCAAAAGTTCAATACTAAATAAAGGTTAATTTATAATGTATTTGCAATGACCAAGCTGAAAATAAAAATATTTTCTCCTCTTTTTTCTTCAATCATGGAATATCCCTATCTATAATGTTTTGTTTATGACACCTTATGATGCTTTCATCTGCTTGTTGATGTTTCATGAGATGCTATACATAATTCTGTATTGTCTTGAGTTGGTTTTGATTTTCGCTATTCATTTTAGAAATCCCAAGTTGGGTTCTTCACCTACTTGTGTACAATACAACATGTTGAGCCAAATTTTTATGATAAATCTGCTTTATTTATATTGGGAAAATTGTCAGTCTTATGAAATTATGTGTTATTGCTCAAATCCATAGTCATTCCTATTTCTGATACGAATCATTGAAAATTAAATCCAATTTTTCCCGATACTCTCATATCAGTAATGGCATGACGAAAATAAGGCAAGGCCCAATTTTATAAGTCATGTCATATCCTACCTTAGATGTATTATTAATTATAAAAAGGAAGTTGTATCCTTATATTTGTATATCATAGAGCTAAACAATTATATTCTACAATCCAAGTAAACAATTACAAAAGCTTGAAGCAGCTCTCCCGTGCTGGTAAGGGAAAATGTTAGCACCCTATAGTTTTTGGGGTAATTTTTTCCTGATAAAAAAATTGTGCAACTTGATTTTTAAACACTACAAAAAAATAGAACGAAAAACAAAAAGGAAATTTCATGGATGATGTACTTCTCTTGTGTAGCTTGAATAAAGTAAGCATCTAACTAAAATTCATTATACCAATTCATCATGCAACCGACTAAATGATCAACACTCTTTTAATCGTATGACTATGACCAAGTAGAAGTTAAGCAAAGAACTTATTTATCCACCTATATTTAGTGTCTCTAATCCTATCAAATTATTAATGTTGAACTAATTCTCAAAGGAATTCAAAATAGGGACATGACAATCCAACCATAAACATAGGCAAGGTAAACAAAAGCATCTCAAAATAGAACCTGACATTTGAAAGCATGTTGTAGAAGTCCTTCATAACTCGAACCTGAAGGAAAACAGAGATAAAGCTAATTCCAGGCTTAATGGAATATATGTGAACAGAATATGGAAATTATTCAGCAAAATAAGTACTGCTTCGGTTTTGAGTCTTTTGACAGTACCTCTTGCGCTGCTTTGGTATCTTTTATCAAACTCATGACATTTGGAGCATCCAGAACCTCCCTTAAACTATGTCTGCAGATAATAAAAAAAAATGCCAAAGTGATAAGATAAATCAAATAATACAGTACCCACAAGCAATTGAACTACAAAGTTAATCCTTAAAACAACAATGTGTTAATCTATATTTGCTTCCATGTTCTTTCTTTTCAGTCTTCACATTCTAAATAAATGGATGTCTATGACAGGCAGGCATATAAGACATGGCATTTATTGAATCAATCAAGTGTTAAAGACAGGCACATTATACCAGCATATCACATCAGAAAAAATATGCAAGTTAAGCTACGTTTAATTGATCAGTGACTGCAATAATCTTCTCGTGTTTGTGTTAATTCTAATATTAACTTACAAAGCTTTTGTAAAGTCCTAGAAAAGTAGGAACAGGAAACATGAAAAATAAAGAAAGCAACCATACTTGTATCCTGAACTTGTATGCACAAGAATGATGCGTGATTTGTTTTCAATAATAGGTCGCAACTGTCTTCGTTCTGCCTCCAAAAATAAGTGACGATGAAACTGATCCTGAAACAGATAGAGACTTATAATATAAGCAAAATAAACATTTCTTTTCCAAAATCCAGCCTGCACTTATACTTGTACAAATCAATAAAGAAAGATATTTTTATTAAGAATACATACTTGCAGACAAACACACATGGTATCAAATTTGTAAATATTCACCAAGAATGAAGCCCAAATAAAACAAACAGGGAGTACTTACTTACCTTTGTAAATCCTGGGCTTGCAATTACTGCACATCGAACCACGTTGAAGTCTATATGTTTCAAGAAAGCCTAGACAGATTGGTAGAATCCAGTAAATTTGTAAGTGCCCCTTTAATCTTTTGATTGATAAAAGTTGAAATATAACATTATTAAAGATAACAAAGAAAGACTACTGCAATGGATCATGATTGATAATATGTTAGATGTCCTCTTAAGCAAGGAGCAAAGAAACATAGAAAAGACAAATTTATTCAAACAATAAGGAGATATTTGATAATTGATATAGTCATCTTCATTCAGCCATCTAATATTACCGTATATATTAGATTTGTCATCAAGATGCCCATGTTCGGTACATGGGTATGATAGTACCATGGGCATCTCATGGTACCATGGGCATCTCATGGTACCATGGATAAGGAAATGGGTGTATGGAAGTTAATAAAGAACATCAATTCAAAGCTAGAGCTACACATAAACCAAAACAGAAATATTTAAATTTTTTTGTATGGAATATGTATCACTAATGAGAATAAATGCTATAGATAAGAAATCTAAGTCCTTGGGCTGAACTTACCTGCAAAACATTCTCAAAGAACTTATCCAAAGCCTACAAAAGGGAGGAGGGTGCTTTAGAATTGTATCACTCAAGTTATTGAATTCAATAACTGACATCTAACAATAAAGAGAGATCATACTTTCTCATAACCAGCAATTGCAGGCCCATGCTTGCGTGGAATTGATGTTTCAATCCGCGAACGAGTAACAGTCATACTGTTTTATTAGACATAATAAAATGAATCATTTCATTGCAATGACACGACTACATGCCAAAAGTTAACTAGAGTATCAACAAGAACATATATTTAATTTCCCCTTGTTTGTGGTTACCCACAGAAATCAAACAAATCTAACTAACACCTACCATTTTTACTGGTATAGAGTGCTGAGCAAAATATCTTATGTATAAAATGCTATTATATTATAAGTAATATATAAATGAAACACATGGAGTGAAAGTTAACCTTCTACCAACAAGGAGGATATGAGCTAATCCTTCTTGCATCAACACCACAGCTAGATCAGCACTTGCACCAGGATCTGCAAAATATGCATGGAACTTCTATTCACCATTTTGATTACTAAGATTTACACCAACAATCATAGAACAAACTGAGCAGAAGAGGATTATGAATTCCATTTCTGCTTGATAAATATGACTGTGATTCTATATGAAGCATTTATTTCATTCTTTCCACCATTTTTGGTAAAATGGCTACGAAGGATTTAAGACATTACATAAAGTAGCAATTCAACAATTTGATCAATTGATCAGAGGTGCAAGCTAAAACTTGTATCGTCAAAGAAATATCCTCATTTTCAACTTAGCAGATTTTGTAATTTCCATGCACACAGATAACACTACACTACTCAAATTCCCACAAGTATAAATGTCTTTAATAAAATAGGGAGATTCCTATAACTGATAATATACCAGAGGCCTGCTGTAGTACCTCCAAAGCCAATGAATCCCAAACATCCTACAAAAGGCAAAATATAATCTTCAGCAATCATGAATCTTCAAAATAGTAGAAAAAGGAAAGAAACTGCCACAACCTGATTTTCTTAAAACATTCATAATTCCAACCAATAATGGCAAAAAAAATACACTCAACCAAAAGACCTAGGTTGTATGCATATGAAGCACATATATAACAACAAGGAAGGAACAGTAACAGGAAGCATAATAATTTAAGAGAAAAACCTTCCTGAGCACAAACGGTCGCTGCAGTTCCAGTTCTAAAGTATGGAATGCTCCTATCTGCAACGATTAGAAGTTAAGTTTAGCAGCAACAATTAGAAGTTAAAATGAGGATGATAGTTGCAGTTAGGTACCTTGACATGTTCATTCTCTAAAATATTCTTTCCACGAATACGCAAAACAGAACCTTCCTTGTCATAATCCGCAACCTAGTAAGCAAAAAAATTGCGATAAAAGACAAAGCGAAAAAGTAACAGAAATCCTATTGCGACGTAACGCAAAAAAGTGACAAAATACCTCTTCGACTTTAATCTCCAATTTGAGCTTGACGCGTGCTGCATCTCGTCCGCCATTAGCAGCTTCTCGAAGAACCTTCCTATTACAAGTACGAACGCGAGAAAATGAAAATTGAAAAATGAGATTGTAAGTGAGAATTGAGAGAAAGAGTACCTAATGGTAACGGCCATGACGGAGTCTCCGGGAGCTATCAAGTTATACGCAAACCACAGGTCATCGGAATCCACTGCCACCATCTGCATACCATAATCGTAAACAACAAATTCTGCGGAACAAAAATTCAAATCAAAGAGCGTAGAAATTGGAATTGCACCTTAACGCTTCCAGGTCCATTGGGCACGAGGTCTCTACGAACGATCCTCATGTCTATTAGCTTCACTTGTTTTCGCTTCTCTCTCTTTCTCTTATTCAAACTCTTGAAAGTTGAAACTATGGTCACACAGAAAGCACCCGCACGTCACTGTCACGTGTCACTAAACAACACCTTTAACAGGCCCAATGCAATTAATTTGCAAGTAACATCCAACTAATAACAGCCCGTGGCCCAACCAGTTATACATGGGCTTACCCAACATATCCTAAATGTTAATTTTAACTATTTACATGTAATTAAACTATTAAAATTATATTATTTTCTAATAGCAATTTATCATATATAAACTAAATTTATTGAGTTTTACTATTGATGCCTCATAATGGACAACGGCGTGATGCATTGTAACTAGATGACTAATGCTTGGATGCATATTTCAATGCTGCATGCAAAAGAAACCCATGTGGCACTCTCCTTACCTTGCAGCTGTCAACTCTTCTCTCTCTTTCTAGCACGTGTCAGCAACAGGCACATGCGGATGATGCTCACATACTCCTTCATTTTACCAAAATTATTCACTGAACTTTGCATGCGACTGAGAATAAGAGTGAAAAGCAGCTACCACAATACCATATTAGTTGTCAGATCGAGGTTAGAAGTTTCAAGCTTACATTCAGTTCAGGTACACCTTCTTATTTTGTTATATATCTATCATCTCTTCGTGGATTTCATTATACTGTTACAGGAAAAATTTCACTTATTAGTAATGCTATTATATAAGACGTAAAACACATGCATTCAAGACTAGACTACAGAGATAGACATATTACAAGTTTTGTTTCAACTTTCAATGACATTGGTGTGTATGTGTATAATAGGATGGAATTTGAAGAAATAGAAGATGAAGAATGGTATACTAGTAAATACTTGTCCCAACCTAATAATGCTAAAAGTAGTGGCAATGTGAGGTGGTTGCTCAAATGGGGACTGTGTCTGGGAAGGAAAGTCTTAGTGGCTGGTTTCGTAGCTTCTGCTGCCCCGGTTGTTGTTCCACCTCTTGTGGTTGCTTCTGCTATTGGCTTTGTTGTTTCTATGCCTTATGCTATGTTCTTGGCTAGCCATGCTTGCACTCAGAATTTAATGAGTAAGTTGTTGCCTCGGCCTACTCCTCAGGACCCCCCATTGCGTGAAGAGATGTGTTATAAAGAGGAACATGCTCTTGCAGGTGAAGCAAAGAGAGACATTGAAATGGATGGTGTTCAATGTATGAAGAATGGGGAAAATGTGGCATTGGTGGGTGAATGTGGTCCTCGAGAAGAAGATGCCACCGATGGAATTGAAGGACACCCAAGAGGAGAAACTAATGGAGTTGTGACAATGATTGAGGGTCTTGATAAGATTGGCAATGAAATTGAAGAGTTCGAGACCCCCTTCGAGATTACAACTGTTGTTTTAGAGGAGTCCCAGGATCAGGACATGGAGGGTGACATAGAGGAAGCAGAGGTTCAAAGAGAAACAAAGGGGTTGTTGGAAAAAATTAGAGATGAAGGTAGAACACAGGAGAGAGGAGAATATGTAGAAGGAATATGTGGAGGGGAAAATGAAAATGATCAAAAAATTGGTCTAGTTGTTGAAGATATGGAGGTAGCATGGGAAGACACAGATAGGGGTATCATTGGGGAGACTGAAAAAGATCCAAATATATGTGAGGAAATGGTTTTGTCAAGAAATGATGAAAGTGAGGATACTATCTGCAATGAAGTAGAATCAGATGAATATGTAAGAGGTTTGTTGGAAGGAAAAGAATTTGATGATACAAATGATTCACAGAAGTCAATGGCTGAAACTTTTGAACTGCTGCATGGAAGCTGTTTCACACATGAGACTATTCCAATTGGAGATTTGCGGATACAAGCGTTGGTTTATAATGTTCCAGTGGATGACGTTGTCATTGAAAAAACTGACATACATTTTGCTGAAGAGGAACCGGAGCCTCCACTGGATTGTCCTACTCAACTGCAAGAAGGGAAGTTAGATAATAGCATTTCTGACACTGAAAATCAAGAATCACAGTTGCATCATGAAATGAATGAAATGGTGTACTCAGCAGATGCAGAAGCTAGAGAAATTGCTAATGCAGGTGCACTTGATTTGTTTGATGGAAAACAAATAGACCAAAACAAGTCTGCATTCACAATTGATTTGCGTGAAGGTTAGACCCTAGAATATGTTTTCCATTTCCATTAACTGTGCCTTGAGGGCTAATTTTTATTTGGAGCCCTGATATCTGAATTAATTTATATGTTTGCAGTATCTTCAAAAGTTGATGGGCATACAGATTCCATGGAGGTTCTTGTTTCGTCTGTAGAAGAAGAGTCTAGGTCATCTAAATGTTCCTCTGGAGAAAACATTATTTTCCCTTCTCAAGAGGTCAAGGCTTAATTTATGTATTTTAAGACAGCCTTCTTGTTATAACATGATAATTATATAATTTATCTAATTATATCTTAGGTACTTGGTGATAATTGCTTTGATATTGTTTAGGATTCTTTGAATTTGAAATAATTTGCTTATGGACTTTACTTTGATTCTTATTGTATTCCACAGAAATTTGAGTCAGCAGCAGATTAACATGTGAATTTGGACATATAGATAAGCTTAAAGCACACATTTTGTTATTATCGATCAGGCTATTTACTTTGGCTTTTGCAGGATGTATTCCATGAGGAGAACATATGGAAACAAATTAATGTCATAAGGAAGATAATAGGATATGAAGGTACAAAGCAAGAAGCATGTGCAGATGAACTGAAGGCTCTCTACATCTTCACTGGAGTTGAGCCCCCAACTTCTCTCAATGAGAACACGAGCGACCCTGATGAAATCAAGGAGAAGCTACACTTCCTCATGTCCATAGTTGGAATTAAGTAGAATATGGCTTACAATATGTGACACATCTTGTATTGTTTTCTACATATTTTAGTCACTGTTTTCTTTTATTCTCCATGACTCGGGTATAAGTGGAGAAAGTGTATAATTAATGACCTATCAAATAGGTTTCAAATTTTTAAAAAGTTTGTCGAACTTTTAATTCAACGTTAATTCAACAGGATTGTTGAAATGTGAAGTATAGGGACTTACTTTTGAAATATGAGAATTTCTTCATATATATATATATATATA